TCTTAAAACATTCCTGCTTTTCCATCCTTTTCAGGGCAGACTTCACTTTCAAGTCTGTAGCTTCCAGCTGCTTTTATGTTACTAGGAGGGGAAGTTGGGGGAGGGTTGAGTAGGAACAGCTTTCTCTTGAATGGAAAGCTGAGGTGGCTCCCACCCCTAAAGCCCTCCCCTTCCATGATTCAGTGACAGGTAAGAGGTTACGTGTTCAGGGTCCTCTTTGGATGAACCTACCTGGAAAATGTTGCCATTCAGAAGGCATTTTGAGAAACGAAATGAACTGACATACATGGCAGGATCATTTGAAATCACACTTTAAAGAAGCATATGATGGGTATTTTGTAATTATCTTTCTTAATATGTTAAGGTTTAAAAAAAAAAAAATTTCTGAAAGGATTTTTCAAAATTACTGATTTGTAACCCAAATGGCAAAATATCCCGTGTGTAAAGCACCTACTGCAGCTATGCACATTCACCACAAGGTGGCAGACGAATGCCATTAAAAAGATGATGTTCAAAATTCCTGCCTGGTATCAAACCAAGTGGATCTTGGGAATAAGTAACTACACGTAGCATAATCCAGCTCATTTCTATGTTTCTTATGTGTGTAGAATATAAAAATTATATCCCATACAATCTTTTTATTACAAAAGCAGTGGAATATGGAGCAAGGACAGAACCAGAAGAGCAGAGAGAACTCCGGAACTCACTACAGAACAGGGGTTCTCAGCCCCGGTTATCTTCCAGAGGGTTGGGCGCAGATCTAATGACTAAACTTCGTCTCCTTTCCCATCGTTTGTCCTTCCCCTGTTTGAGGTGCTGCTCAGTAATGACGTCTTTCATGGGCAGTGTTGGGGAAGGGGAAGGGGCAGGAAGAAAAGACCTGGTTAGCTCATCATGGCCCCATCAGCCTGAACTAACTGAATTCAACAGGTCTCAGGTTACCTGAGAACCGTTTCCTGTGGTTTCAATTTAAAGCTGCTCAGACAAGACCACAGTGGTGTGCAGGAGACTGTAGGAGGGCAGGGAATCTGATGATCCCCATGGCGTGAGGTGTGGAGGGCCTAGTGGTCCCTCACTCTTTATCTATAGAATGGAGTGTGCATGTCCATTACATGCCAGGCAGCGTTTTTAGGTTTGCAGGTACAATACTGAATACACAGATGAAATCTTGCTACTCGTTGGCTTACATCCTAATGAGAGAAAAGAGACAATAAACAAATAGACAAATGTTGAATTCTGAAAACTGGAAACCCTCACTATCCACATGTGCCCCCAATGTGTGCAGTGGAGAGGCAATGAGTGAGATAGAGATGCATCCCCCGGGAGCACATGGTCTCCTGTGGCCTCATTCAAGGCCTCTGCCGACAGGGTTTCTACTAAGGCGCTCATGCATGGGCCCAGTGAGCTCTGAGAGGGGGGACCTGGAGCTGGCCAGCTGAGCGCTCTCCTTTGGGCTGCTTCTGGGTCTGGTTTCTCCTCCCAAACACTGTCTGTTGTGGCTTTGTAAATCTCAAAGTGAGTTAGAGACCAGGCATGATGATCTCTAGCTTCCAAATCTGGCCTCCAGGATGGAAGCTGGGCCCAGGAGACAACTTCAACCTGGGCGCAGAGAGCTCCATTTACAGTACGGTTTGCACGAGGTAAACATTGTCACTTAGAGCCTGCAGCACTCCTTGACCATCTTCCCTGAGTGTTTTAAGGGATGGCTGGGTGGAAAGTTGCCATGCATCTCAGATACCAAGTCTGCACAGAGGGGGTTCTCTTTCATCAAGTGGTGGTTTAATTCTACAGGCTTTGATTTCTGGGAGGAAACAGTCACGATGGAAGAGTTTAGAGAGAGAGAAATGATTTCCCTGAGGTCATATACTGTGGGACAGTACAGTGCAGCTTTTCAAGAGTAGAGTGTGTTCATTTTCTTATGTTTTTATGTATTTTAGGTGGAATATAGAAGTTTCCCAAGTTCTTCACAGTCAGAGGTGAGCTCTGCATACCTTAAATATGTTACCATCCTGTGTTTGTGGATAATTAATGCTTTTTCAAAAATTTGACACTCACAATCTTATTTTTCAGATTATACAAGCGATACAGAATTTAACCCGTCTCTTATATAGCCTTCAGGTAACTATGCTTTGACCCTGTGAATGTTTCTCTTCATGCAACTCACTTTATTCGATGAGTCCTGGACTTTAAAAATTAGAACATTTGAGAGGTAGTGAATAATCTTAAAAGAACACCAAGCCTCACCCCAAGTGTAACTCAGCTAGATGCTTCGAACTTCACCTGGTTTTGTAATCACGAGGCATCACCACTACTACAGTTTATACCATTCTTCTCTGAAACCATAAAACAGTTCATATCTTTAAAAAATACTGATGAGTATGATCTGGCTTGAAGTTTACAATGAATCTCTTTCTTAGGTGAGTATAGCATGACTTCACATTTTCTGGTGAAAACTTAAATTCACACCTAAACTTTTTTCACTTCCACATGTGGCCTTTAGGCCTTTGGGGCAATTAAATAATTCATATGCTCTTTCATTGTTTTCTTGGTTCATCCACCTAACATTTATTAAGTTCCCTCTCTGGGCCTGGCACCGTGATGAGGGCCAAGCACACAAGGACAAGTGGTCCACAAAGTCTACCATCAGACGGCTCACTGTCTGTCCAGGAAAGACAGGCATTGTGAAAATGAGGACTCTAAGGCTGGATGATCCCTTAGGTCATGCACAAGAAAGGCTGAATACATCCAGTTGCTTAATTTGTGAGTTAAAAAACATTTTAAAACGATGTGAAAGCAATGTTTATAGACAAATTTATAGAAAATCTTGATACAGGTACATAAAGTAAAATGACTTGTGATTTTGTGAGAGAATTACTGTTGTCATGGGGGTATGTATCCCTCTAGTTTTTTGCTGGTGTTTTTTTTGTTTGTTTTTTGTTTGTTTTTTTTGCGGTACGCGGGCCTCTCACTGTTGTGGCCTCTCCTGTTGCGGAGCACAGGCTCCGGACGCGCAGGCTCAGCGGCCATGGCTCACGGGCCCAGCCGCTCCGCGGCATGTGGGATCTTCCCGGACCGGGGCATGAACCCATGCCCCCGGCATCGGCAGGCGGACTCTCAACCACTGCGCCACCAGGGAAGCCCCTTCTAGTTTTTTGAATCATTTTATACATACTCTTGGAACCTGTACCTTTCTATGTCATCACTTGTCTCTATAGCACGATTTTTAACAGTTGAATAATATTCAGGTCTATAGAATTTATCCATTCCTCATAGTTTATACTTTTGTGTTAATAACAGTCTAGCACACATCCTTGTGCACTGATCTCTTTGAACATATGTGAGTGTTTCCTTAGGATAAATTACTGAAATTAATTTTTGAGGTTTTTGATAGACATTGCCAAAATAATCAGCACCCCTCTCTACTTGTCCTCAATTTGAAAATAGGTCAAGTTAGCTCATGATCTTAATTTGCATTTTTTTGGTTACTACTGAAATTAAACTTTTCCCCACTGGTTTATTGTCATTCATATTTCATATCTTATACCTGTTGAATATTAAAAGAAAATAAGGAAAATAAAAGTCTGATTTTAAGTTTTTACCAGAAAAAATATCATGCTACATTTGCTGTTTTCTTATTAATACTTTGCATCAAGACTTCTTTTATGTTCTATTGATCATCTTCCTATTCTTGACCTAGTACCACTATCTTATTTATTAAAATTCTGGATTACATTTGAATGCATGACAGTCTCCTCTTATTATTTCCCATGTTTGTCTGTATGTTCTTTCATAAGAGCTTTTGAATCAGTCTGACAAATTTCTTAATCTTCTACTGAGACAGTTAAATTAAAATATTACTATATTTATGAATTAAATTGGGGAGAAGTGACACTTTTGCAATAATTGGTTCTCTTGTCTGAGAACATGTTATTTTATGTTCTGTTGGAAAGCTTTGTAATTGTCTTCATTTAGGTACTTTTTTTTCCTGCTAAGTTTATTCCTGGATATTTTTGTCTCTTTGTTCCTATTGTGAATGGAATTTTTTTTTTTTTCATTCTGTTTCCCCAATGTTGGTTGCTGGTATAAATACAGGTATTGGTTTTTTATATAGTTTTTAACTGGCCAACTCATTGAATTTTTGTTTTTTTGTTTTAATAGTTTTTCTGTTGATTCTTTGGAGTATTCCAAGTAGAAAGTAAAAACTTGAAAGTAGTGGTATTTTGGCTACTCTTCAATAATTATATCAATTTCATTTTCTTGGCTTACTGCTTTGGCTAGAAATTCTGAAATGTCTTAAATAATAGTGGCGCTAGTAAGCATCCTTGTTGTATTCAAGATTTAGTGGGAATGCCTTTAGTGTCTTATATTAGATATGCTGGTCTGGGGTAGATGGTCTTAGAGATTAATTTCTCATGTAAAACAAATATTCTTTCTTTTAAACTTTAATTGAAAAGGGGTATAGTTTGCGTGCAGTTCATTAACTTTCGGGAGATGAAAACATTGAGTGTCCCAGCTTGTGTTGCCTGATGAAAACACTCACAAGGTCATATCTCTTCTTTTCAACCTTGAATGCAGCCCTCTGTGGATTCAAGGTTCAGAAAAGCTGGATGACCTAAATGACCTAGTTTTTGCAACACTGAAGCAAATACCAAATTCTATAGTGGGTTCTCTTAACCAAAGCTTTTGAGCTGGTCTAAGGATATGGGCTCTCAAAGATTTCTGTTCATGGCACAGTCATCTCTTTTGAAGCTGAATGTTTTATGCATGATTAAAGTTTTTACAAAGGATTTTTTTTTTTTTTTTTTTTTTCTTGCGTTATGTGGGCCTCTCACTGTTGTGGCCTCTCCCATTTGCGGAGCACAGGCTCCGGACGCGCAAGCTCAGCGGCCATGGCTCACGGGCCCAGCCGCTCCGCGGCATGTGGGATCCTCCCGAAACGGGGCACGAACCCGCGTCTCCTGCATCGGCAGGCGGACTCTCAAGCACTGCGCCACCAGGGAAGCCCGACAAAGGATTTTTGAATCAGATGAAAATGAAATTTGATCCTATGTTAGAAGAATAGAGATGAGGTATAGGCAAGGCAGAAAGGAAAGGACACTGTTCAGCTGAGAAAAATTAAGAGAGAGCGAATATACATGTATAACTGAATCACTTTGGTGTACAGCAGAAATGAACACAACATTGTAAATCAACTATACTCCAATATAATTAAAAAAAGAAAAGGAGAGAGAGTGAATTGGGAATTTTCCTAAACTTCAAAAGCAAGCGTTATTCTCTGTCCTAAATGTAAATGTAAACTTTAAATGTGAAAATGAATATCCAGTCCTCAGATTTCACCTCTCTGCTATAGAAGGGAGTAGTCTTATCCCAAATGTTAAATATATATGAAGAATACTTCATGGTAGCATTTAATTAATCTAATTGTAATCCTTACATGAGAGTTACCATTGCCTCTAGCAGTTTTGGCATATAAAATGGTGGATTTTTTGTTTGTTTGTTTTACTCTGATGATGCCCTTAGGATTTGTTAGAATTAAGTGGTGATGTGCAGTCTACAGTTTGCTTTAGCCAGGTCAGCAGAGTCCTGAATGGCTTATTATTTCATATTTAAATATCAAAGTTATTAGTACCTATTCTCAATGGTATCATTGTTTTCTTTATAGTAACTGCTAAAAGACAATCAAATAGTCATGTGAATTTGAAATTTTTTGAATTGATTTTCAAATTTAAAAACATGAAGTTTATTTCAAAAGGCCCCACTGAATACATTTTTGAGTCTTACTCCAAGACGAATACCAATTTAAAATATACCTTAGTTCTTTAACCTTCAAAAGCGTGGGAAACTGCTGAGTTAACAAATAACTAACGGTCAAATCCCCATCTTCCCAGCATCTGTTACATGGACAGCTTTTTAAATTTTTAGGAAAGAAAAATGAGAATTTATCCCTAGGAGAGTAATAATTTCTCATAACGAGTCACAACATACACACACATACCCAGTATGTGGCCATTTTCAATTTGTCCCTTTTCTGTTTCTTTGTGCTTTCATTGGGGACTTTTAAAATTAAAAGCTTCCAGGGGCATTTACAGATATTTTTTTGTTTTGTTTTGTGGAATCCTTCCAAAACTTGGCAGTTATTTCCTGTGATACTGCCAAACTTTTTGTAGGCAGATGCCGTAACTCAAAATGTTTTTTTAATCTGGTTGGTGATGTCCTCTGGGTTTTAGAGTATCTGTGTCCCTGGTTGGTAATGTCCTCTGGGTTTTAGAGTGTGTATGTCCCCTGAAGCAGTCCAGCCTCCTTTTAGCACTCTATTAAACAAATGAATTTCAGCTTAGTGTTTTGTGCATGACCTTCCTGCTATAATACAAAGAAATAACAGTGATGAGACTAGCTTTACCATTTATACATCTCCTAAACATGATATTAACAGCTATTCTCTGGCATTATATTATAAAAAAGGTTATTTAGCAAAGCTTCCAAGTGGCTGACTTTTATTTTGATGTCTTCATGTATGTCATATAGCTTAAGTAATTTCTGGTTTGAGACTCAAAGGGTACTACCAGATTTATATAGATTCTTAAATTCTCCTGAATTACTGACTGTCAAGACCTCAGAAAGAGAATGAGGCATAGCACGGGAATGCAGAGTCCTGTGAATTTAGGTACTGAATTCTTATTGCTTAAATATTACCCAACAACCAGCAACAAACCGCATTTCCAAAAGAGAGGATGAGTATTGCTTCTGTGCTTTATTTCTTTTGTGTATAAATTCCAGGCCATACCACTAAGGAAATGCAGACAAGCCTATTTGAAGTGCCAAGGTCAGTCTCAGGAGGTAACTTAGAACAAGGACAGAAATATTCAGAGAAAATAATTTGGTCATGCTCTTGAGGTGGTACCAACCCAAGGTGCACACGGTACGGACGCCTTTGCTTTTTTTGCCCTCTGCTCGGACAGGCCGCCTTGACCGTTCAGGATAGCCACATTGAGGTGCACAGGCTGGCTCTCCAGCAGCAGGAGGGCCTGTCCCCTGGCCCCTCTTTCCGAGGCAGCCCCTTTCAGGACCAGGAGAAGCACCGAAGCCTGGAGAAGCGGCGGGAGGAGCTGGCCAACCTCCACGAGCTGCAGCAGCAGTTCCAGCAGGACCGGCAGCGCTGGCACCGCAGGTGCGACCAGCAGCAGCGAGAGCAGGAGGCCAAGGCCAGCCGGCTGCAGGAGCGCGAGAGGGAGTGCCGGCTGCAGGAGGAGCTGCTGCTGAGCAGCCGGGGGCAGCTGGACCAGCAGCGCCAGGAGTACCAGCAGAGCCTGGAGCGGCTGCGGGAGGGCCAGCGCCTGGTGGAGAGGGAGAGGGAGAGGATGCGGGCCCAGAAGAGCCTGTTGCGTGGCTGGAAGCACAGCCGGCAGAGGAGCCTTCCCGCGGCGCTGCCTGGAGGAGGCGTGGAGGTACGGGTCTCCCTGTGCTTGCAGAAGCAGCGTGTGAGACGGCCGTGGTCGTGGTGGTTTCGGAGCCACTGACCACACGTCTGTCTTCTTCGCTGCTTGTGTGAGAGCTCACAAGAGTTACTCGGTGTGTAGGTAACAAAAGCTGGGACCCTTTAGAGACAATACATATGCACTTTGACTTTGAAGTATGGACACGTGAAAGGTCCGGGTGCTGCTGGACCATGGGTTCATTGTACTCTGAGACCCCCTTACCCGAGGGAAGAAATACAGACTAGAGCTGTAGCAGTGAGGCGAGCTTTACCCTGGAGGCACGCTCACCGTGAGCATGCTGTAGTTCGAGCTCCCCTGTATATGCTCCAGTCTTCAGAGCTCTGTATAGACTTACCTTTCAGCAGATCAGTTAAGCTATTAATGTTCATAGGTACTGAATTTAACAAGTACACTACTGTTCCGTTATTGCAAGCTTATTCTCTTTTTGTAAATTTGACCTCATAAATTCAAAATCCATTTCACTAATGACAGTTAACATAAGTAGTAAACTAATGAATGTTTGGGCAGGATAAAGCCTTTCCAAAAGTTCTGTGTTTCATTTTGCACCCACTCTAACCATGCTTGACAATTCCGTTTGTTCCAAGAGTTTACTTTTCTGTGCTATGTGCACATAGATACTTTTTATTTTTTTTATATTCTTTTTTTAATATCTTTATTGGAATATAATTGCTTTACAAAGTTGTGTTCATTTCTGTTGTACAACGCAGTGAATCAGCTATAAGCATACATACATCCCCATATCTCCTCCCTCTTGAGCCTCCCTTCCACCCTCCCTATCCCACCCCTCTAGGTGGTCACAAAGCGCCGAGCTGATCTCCCTGTGCTATGCGGCTGCTTCCCACTAGCTGATTTACATTTGGTAGTGTATATATGTCAGTGCCACTCTCTCACTTCATCCCAGCTTCCCCTTCCCCTCGCTGTGTCCTCAAGTCCGTTCTCTACGTCTGTGTCTTTATTCCTGCCCTGCCGCTAGGTTCATCAGTACCGTTTTTTTAGATTCCATATATGTGCGTTAACATACGGTATTTGTTTTTCTCTTTCTGACTTACTGAACTCTGTATGACAGACTCTAGGTCCATCCAGCTCACTGCAAATAACTCAGTTTCGTTCCTTTTTATGGCTGAGTAGTATTCCATTGTATATATGTGCCACATCTTCTTTATCCATTCATCTGTCGATGGACATTTAGGTTGCTTCCATGTCCTGGCTATTGTAAATACTGTACGTAAAGTTGTAAAAGTTGACAAGCTTCTAAGAGTGATCTGTGTTATATCTGACTTTCCTTTCAAGTTGGCTAAATTATATTTATTGCAAATCCTTTATGTATACATGAATGTCTTCAACTTTTATTTAGCAAAAGTGAAAATGCTATTCCCTTAAAGTAGAAACACTTTAACGGCAGTGAGCACACAGCTGCACGTGTCTTTTCATCTGATTTTTATTTCTTTTAAGATATGCTATGCGTTGCCAATTGAAGTTTTTGGTACTAGCTCATTAAAAGGGGATGGGAGGAAGGAGTCAAGGGTAATATCCTTCTCGACCTCACTCATTAAAATCTTGATTGCTAAATTCTGTTAGGAATAAATACTTTATGAACCTGGTGCAAATTGCTGGAAGAATTATTGTGTTTTTTCTTTTTTCTTACACAGGTAATGGAACTTAATCAATCTGAGGGTTTATGTCATGAAAATTCATTCTTCATCAATGAAGCTTTAGTGCAAATGTCACTTAACACTTTGAACAAACCGACTCCAGCAGATATCCATCAGGATGCCACTTACCCCCCAAGTATATCTCATTCCGATTTGGTAAGGACTAGTGAAAATCAAGTAGACCTCAAGATGAACATTTCTCAGCCCTTGGACGTCAGCCATGAACTATGGATAGCCGCTGGGTCCTGTCATCAGATACCCCCTCTCCACCAAAGCAGCAAGGATTCTTGTAAAAATGGTAATTAATACTTTAAACATCATCTGTATAGTTTCCACAAGGAGCTGTTTTTCTGAATGGTTGGCTCTTCTTTAGAGCAAATCAAAGTGGGCCCTAGAATGGGAATAAATTGGTGCTGATAAGCTGGAGTTTGTGGCATAAACTTGTCTTTGGGGAAGTCTGGGGGCCATCACTTGTGAGTATTGAGACAACTAGACCATGGTTGGAGGGCTTAGAGGATGCCACTGAGATGTGAGAACCAGACAGGGTTTTTAGGTCTGTGGGTTAAATAATAACTTTCCTTGAAAAGTGAAGCAACTTGATATTTATTCCTCACTGTAGACCCAACCACATCCTGATACACATACTTGTTGACTCTCAGAAATAAAAGATATGGACAGGGTTTGTGGTAGGGCTTTATTGTCTCTCGGGGCAATTTCCTGCAATGTTAGTAAAATCTTCTGTACTGCCGTTAAATACCCCAAATGAAACTGTTAACATCATTTGTCATTGTAAAAAAAAAAGGTGTTGTGTCTCCGTAAGTACCTCGTAATGACACAATTTGCTAATCCCATTAAAGCATTTGCCAAATATAAATGAAAGGCAGCTCGAGTTACCAACTCCACATGAATCCAAATGATTTAAATCTATGTCTATTATAAATTGTTTTCTGTGGGATATGAGGTAGGGAATGAGAAGAACTCAAAACCTCTCTACCGAAAAACAGATGGCATGCAATAGAATAAACAAATGGCTGGCCACATGGATGGGAAATAAATCACCGACAGCAAAATGTTTCAGAAACATGAAACAAGCAGTGGTATAGAGATCTTCAGAACTGGACAGAGATTGGTTTCCATGCTTCATAGTTATTCTTAGTTTGTCAGTAGGATAATTTGTCAGCAATGAAAAGGTTTAAATGTGTTCAGCTTCTCCGAATTAGAGAGTAAATAATTCTGACATTGCCTCAAAGTAGATGTATTACTAATCCAAATTATGTTGATTCTTAGCAGTGGATAATTCTTTACATTGTTCAGTCATTGCTGTAACATTCTTATTTCTTGTCAGCATATAAGAGAGAATGAAATAGTTCTTTAAGTATCGTTTCAAGTATTCCTTAAATAAAAAAGAAAAAAAGTGGAACAGTGAATTGGGGTTTAAAAATTGGGCAGAATGGAGCAAAGTGTAACCCCTTTAATGTATTATGTTGCAGCCCTAACACTACAGAGACCATATTGCAGAATGCCTTCTCTTGATACATGTTGCTTTGCTGTGTTGGATTCATTAAGTTGCTATCTGCAGTGCTTTCTGTGTTGTCACTGTGATTTTGCATATTGGCTTTGGAGTAATTCAGAAACTCAGTTTGAGTTAAACCACATTCCACTTTTGTTTGAAAGAAGTATTTCTGCATCTCCTACCTTCTTCTGTTGACTTGTGCTTTAAAGTAAAAAGCTTGTAAACATTTGGCAGACTGCATACAGGAGACAGAACATGTACTAAGGAAATAAACAGTAATTATGTACAAAACCAGTGTCTCCACATGTAAGGAATTAAATATAGCCCAGGGAAATGCTGAAAAAACATGCTTCAGCTTCAGATGTTGTGTCCAGTGTAGGCCAGGGACACTCAGGACATTGATAGAAGAGAGCAAAGTCAACTCTGGCCTTCCTCTCTCAGGAGCATCCTGGTGTGTGCAGGGGGGATTAGATCAGAAATGCAGTGTGGGCTATCAAGCGCTGGAGTTTTGCAACTGGTCAGAAAACCCTATTTACGTTTATTTACTTAAGCGTGATAAGCAGTTTCTGGAGGAGAGAGAAGAAAGTCAGAGATTAAGGAGGTGGTAGGGAAGTGGAATGAAAATTGGATATATATTCTTAAGAGGGTTGTCAGGGCTAGATAAAATTGTTCAAGCCACTCCAGAGCTTTCACGGTTCTTAGAATCAAAAGTAGCTCAATGGGCTTCCCTGGTGGCGCAGTGGTTGAGAGTCCGCCTGCCGATGCAGGGAATACGGGTTCGTGTCCCGGTCCAGGAAGGTCCCACGTGCCGCGGAGCGGCTGAGCCTGCGTGTCCGGAGCCTGTGCTCCGCAACGGGAGAGGCCACAAGAGTGAGAGGCCCGTGTACTG